TTTAAATTCCACATATCAGCAAAAACATTTGACCTTTGATTTTTTTTGAGGTTGTATGATTTTGCTTAGCATGATAGTCTTCAGATTCATCCATTTACTGACAAAAGTTATAAAGTCATACTTTATGGTTGAGTAATACTCCATTGTGTGTGTGTGTGTGTGTGTGTGTGTGTGTGTGTGTATATATATATATGACACAATTTCTTTATCCATTCATCTGTTGATCATCATCTAGGCTGGTTCCACAGCTTAGCTATTGTGAATTTTTCTGCTATAACATTGATGCAGCTTTGTCACTGTAGTATGGTGCTTTTAAATCCTTTGTTATAATTTGTTATATTCCAAGGAGTGTGTCAATGGTGGTTCTATTTCTTGTTTTTTTGAGGAATCTCCATCCTGCTTTTTAGAGGGACTGTACCAATTTGCAGTTCCACCAACAATGTATGATTGTTTCCTTTTCTCTATATCCTTAGCAATATTTTTTGTTATTTTATTCTTGATTGTCATTCTCACTTGAGTGAGATGGAATCTCTGTGTGGTTTTCATTTGCATTTCTGTAATTCATGGAGGTGTTGAACGTTTTTTCATAGATGTCATGAGCCGTCTGTGGGCTGTATGTGGACTGTTGCATATAGTAGACTCCTAAGAGGATAAGTCTTACATTGGTAACTCCCCATGGCACCCCCACAGGGATTGACCATCTGATGTAGGTGAACTTCCCCCCTCAAACTCTGCCAAACAGCCCACACAGCACCTGAGATGGGTGTGACCTGCCAACATGTCAATCAACCTGCTGATTGCAAGACATCATGAAGCAAGGCTATGCCTTGAAATCTTATCCCTGCCTTTGATGTACCTACACCTAAATACACCACCACAGCCATTTTCCTATGTCTATTTCCAGAACCCATGTAGACTAGATCTATCAGAGGCTTCACATTCTGTAAATATTTCTGAGTATTTGTGCTTTTTTATTTAATAATTATTTGAGATTGTAAGTCTTAGGGGGACTTGGATTATCCTGGGCAGGATGAAGGACCCTTCAGTGAGATGCTGGCCATCATCCTCCCAATACATATATTTGTTGATCATTTATTATTTCTTCTTTTGAGAAGGGTCTGTTCAGTTCCTTTGCTCATTTATTGATTAGGTTATTTTAGCTTCTTTTCTTTTCTTTCTTTCTTTTCTTTTTTCTTTTTTTTCCCCCTGATGGTAAGCTTCTTGAGTTCTTTGTATAGCCTGGGAAATAATGCCCTATAACATCACTTTTGCTGAGACTGTCTTTGAACTCACAATCCTTTGTCTCAGCCTCCTGAACTGCTGGGCTTACAGGCATGTGCCACTGCACCAGCAATATCAGACTTTGAGTCTAGTCAGTGATAGAAGCAGTGATTTGCACTTCTGACCATGGCTCTCGTTTTCATACAATCTACATTGAATTATATGTAGCTGAGTCAACCTCACGCATGACCTTCCTAGTCATTCTCTAAGAGCAGATGAGCAACTAGGAGGCCACTTCTCTGTTTTTTTGTTTTTGTTTTTGTTTTTCTTTTCTCAGTACGGTATGTTAAAGCCATGAGAGGACTTTGTGCAAAACTTGGAAGTAAGAAGAGAAACAAAAGTTATTGTTCTCCAGAGGGGTTTGTAGTCAGGCTGTTGAGTTAACAGGACATCCAGAGTATCTTCTAATTAAGTGTTTGAGAATTATCTAATTTGCTGCTAAGGTTTTAAAAAGTGGAGCCAGAATTAGACAGGCAGTCACTACATGTAAGTAAATTTAGTCAGGCTGGATCAAGGAGGCCAATTTGAGAGAGTCTGGAAGTTGAAGAGGGATCAAAATGCTAATGCCTTTGGAGCCCTTCCTCTACCCTTATCAAGATAACCTGCCCCTGTGACAACCTGTTGCTAAGGTAACCTATCCCAGGGATTGTCCTTCCCTACAGGGAGTTGTTCATTATACCCCCTTTCTGCCTAGATCACCCCACTTTGGCCTCTCCAGCCCATCTGCTTCTCATCATTTGCCATCCCACAGAGAATCATCTGGGTTTAATCATGAAAGCAGGAAGGAGAGAGACATGCAGGGGAAGAGAGCAGGAGAACAAAGGAAGCCTAAGGCCTATAAAAAAGCCAGAATGCCTTCACCTCTGGGGATACCAGGATACCAGCTATGGTTCCCTTCTCCCTCCCAGGAGAAGTCTATGCCACCCCTTTTTAAATAAACCCAGCTTTATATTCTTGCCTCAGGTGTTTCTCTAATGTTATGCTTCAACATGTGGGGAAACAGAACTCATCACCTGGTAAACACTCTCAGAAATTACAGAAATTCATTGCCATTTCCCATTCACACTTCCTGCACCTTCTTTGCAGGCCTCCAACCTGAAATATTCAATATTAGTTTTCTCAACATTCTGTCATCAACACTCAAAGTTTGGCTTTTGACTCCCTCAGGTCTTGAAAAGCGAGTAGAGTATTGGAGTCTGTCAAATTATAAAAACAAGTAATCTAGTTTATTTTATTTATTTTTTTTTTATTTGATGAAATGGGCTCATAAAGAGAGCAACAAAATGTGGAATGTATTCCTCTACAGATGTCCTTCTTTTCCTTGAAGGATCATTTCTTAAGCTTCTCTGTCTGGATGATGGGAATTGAGGAGTGAACTCAGCAAGACATGAGAACAGCCCATTCCTGTTAACACCTCTTTGACATATTTCATTTCAAAAAGATATATGGAAGAATAGTTTTCAAAGATATATGGAAGAATAGTTTTCAAGAATTTGCATTTCAATTTACTCACTTTTTACACCAAAGAAAATGATTCACTTTTATGGAGAGATCCCTCAGAGAATAAAATTGTGTATCTGTCAATTTTAGCAATGCATAATACTTAAGAGCAGATACAATGCTTAGCAATTAACATAGAAAACCTAATAAGATATAAATAGTCAAGGGAAAAAATGGCAGAGGTATGAAGTAATGCAATAGATAACCGTATTGGAATGAGGGAGGAAAAATGGGCTATTTCCAAAGGACAGGAGACATGCTGCTAAATCACAACAGCATACAGAAGGAGCTATGGATGCATGCAATAGCATGGGTGAACTTTGCTATGTTGAACGAAAGAAGTCAGACGTGAAATTCAAACAGTGTAGTTTCTTTCATATGAAATCTTAGAACAGGCATGACTAATCTACAGTGACTAAAGATCATCTGTGTATACTTTGATTCAAAGGCAGGTGGAGGTGATTTTATACACATGCCTTAAATATATAAATATTTCCGCAAGCCAAGATATAAATGAATTGTAGGTTGAATTTCTTTCATGAGTTAGTGTCATCTGTAGTGCTCAGAGACTATAAATTTAGATACAAAGCCTGGTGTTCAAATATTTTAATCACAAATGACATCTATTTATGTTTACAAATTACTTATTTGTAATTATTATGATTCCACAAGAGAAACTTTTCCAGTAGAATATCCATCCTTTTCATGTGTTATAACTCTCATTGCAAAACCCTTGATTTTTTATTTTCCTTATTCGTTTTTCAAGATTCATTGTGATGATTATTCTTGAAAGATGATTTTAAACTGTAAAATTACTTAGATTTTTTTTTTACTTTTTCTATCACAATGTCAATTACATTACATAATAAATCATCATGTTTTGTGTATCTGTCAAATTTAGCAATGCAAAATACTTAAGAGCAGATGCAATGCTTAGCGATTAACATGTATCAAAATATTTAACTAACTATGTATAGCAAGTGTCACTTACAAAAAAGCATTCAGTATATAAAACAGCCCTTTTTGAGAATAGACATTTCTAGGTAAAGATGGAATTTGATATTCTGTATTGAAGAAGGCAGTTTATTCCTAGAGATTAGAAAGATCCACTCAGAAGAGAAGTGCAGATAGACATAGCAAACCTAATAAGATATAAATAATCAAGGGAAAAAATGGCAGAGATCTGAAGCAACAAATTTTTTTCATTTTGTGTTCCCAAGAATGTTATTTATGTCTAACCTTTGTCCCGTTGTTTTGAAGAGAAGAAAACCTTTAGAGCATATGCTTGAGAGCTTCTCTCACCTGCTGGTTCCTCAGGGTGTAAATGAAAGGGTTGAGCAAAGGGGCAACAGAGGTATTGAGACAGCTACACCTTTAGTTAAAGCCACCCTTTCTTCTGCTGATGGATTCATATACATAAAGATACAACTTCCATAAGTAATAGAGACAACTACCATGTGTGAGGAGCACGTAGAAAAGGCCTTCATTCGTTGTTGACCAGAAGGGAATTTGAGAATGGTTATGATGATGAATGTGTAGGAGAGGATCACTAAAAACAATGTGAGAACAAGCGTCATCACAGCTAAGACAAAGGCCATCAATTCTATTAAACGTGTATCTGTACAAGAGATCTGCAGGATGGGGGAAGTGTCACACAGAAAGTGATCGATCACTTTGGAAGCACAGAAATCCAGTTTAAATCCCAGGAACAAAGGGGGGAAGATGATTAAGAGTCCAGCTGCCCAGGAGCTGAGCACCAGTTGGTAGCACACTCTGCTGTTCATAATGACTGGGTAATGCAGGGGTTTGCAGATAGCGACATAGCGGTCATAGGACATGGCAGCCAGGAGGAAAAACTCTGTAATCCCTAATAGAAAAAAAAAAAGAATAATTGAGTTGCACAACCACCATAGGATATTGTTCTGTCTCCAGTGAGAATGCTTATCAGAAACCGTGGAATGCAGACTGTTGTGAAGGAAATTTCCAAGAAGGAAAAATTTCGAAGGAAGAAATACATTGGAGTCTTGAGGCGGGGATCCAGGAGGATGATGATTAAGTTCCCCATCAGGCTCAAGATATAATTGAAAAATAGAAACAGGAAAATCACAATTTGTAGCACAGGGTCACCTGTGAGTCCAAGCAAAATAAACTCTATCTCCGTTGATTGATTCTTCATTTCTCTTTTGTCCTAACAAATTTACAGAAAATAAAAACTAGTATCACAAGTAAGAAGTTGTTTCTTCCTTTTCAGAGATATAAAGTTCAATTTTCAAAAACTTACTAATTCACAGACATTCCTCAAATCAGCTTAGAGTTCATCACAATGAACATAATCCCACTTCATTCATCATGTTTATGAGAACACTGAGAGATCCTTCCCTTGTCCAGAGCTGAG